TTTTTATTTGATTTTTTTAAGACAGCTGTTAAAATAAAAATTAATTACCCGAGAATCAAGTGGGAAGAGTGGCCGATGGGAAATTTGAGTGATAAGATTTAGTTTGTGATAATTGGATTTGAGTTTAAATTTTGTGGATGTTTCTTTAAGATAATGTAGAAACTTGGAAAATTGCATCCTAAGTAATTAGGAATTCTCTTGATTATCTCTTATAAATATAGAACACATTAACACAATTAAGACACACAGCAATCATCACAAAAACAATAACAATCAAAGCAACATAAAAAATTCAAAAGAAAAAGCAAAGAAGAAGTTTTTGGCAAAAAGTTTTTTAGGAATTTTTGGGAGTTATGAGTTTGATTTGGGATATTGGAGACTCAAATTTATGCTTTTGGTATTTTTCTAGAAATTTATAAAAATTTTGATTTTTTTAGTTGAAAATTTTAATGGGCTTTAAATTTTCCAAAGGCTTTACAACGAGTTTTCCAGTTTTTAATGACTTTTTTGGCAATAATCCCAGATTTCAGCTTATTTATAGTAGAAATCGATGAATATTCAACTGGCATTCATCTATTTCCTAGAGAGAGAAGCAATAGAAAAAAAAAAGGTAAAAGAGAATGCAAAAGGGGGTTCAAAGAAAAGAAACAAAAATTTGGCCTTTTATGTTGCTCAAGAATGGTGTCCTTTTAGGTTTAAAATAACCTAAGATCTGCGTGTTTTTCCATTTGGTAGATTCGCCTGTTGTTGAGCTATGCCAGCCGAAGCCACGAGTCAAATTGTTAGGCTGCCTAGCAATTCTTAAGTTTGTAGTCGAACCAACCCTTTCGGTTGAGTAGAGCCAAGCCAAAGTTTTTTTTTTTGTATTTAATTACTTATTTACCCATTTATTATTGTTATTATTATTGTTTTTGTTGTTGTTGTTATTGTTATTATTATTATTTTTCTTGTTTGTTAAACCAATATTGTTTTTATTTATTTAAATGTTTGTATAAGTTTTTTATTTTACAAAAAAAAAGGAAAGTTAAAATATTAGTTTTTTTCTTGAAATAAGAAAATTTTAAAAATGAGGAAAATTTTAAAATATTAACTTTTCTTCATGATAAATTTGCAACAAAATTTGAGAGAAAAGTTGAATTATTAATTTTCCCTTAAAAGAAAAATCCTTTTTTAAAAAATTGAGGGCCTAAAATTAAATAAAAATTTTGAGGAAAATGTTAAAATGTTAATTTTTCCTTAAATAAAAAGTTTTCAAAATTTTGAAGAAAAAATTGAAATATCAATTTTTCCTTAAACAAAAAAATATTTTTTTAAAAAAATGTGATGAAAAAGTTAAAGTATTAATTTTTTCTTATATAAAAAATTTTCAAAACTTTAAGGAAAAGTTGAAATATCAATATTTCCTTTTAAAAAAATTTCAAAAGTATTTAAGGAAAAAATGAAAAATCAATTTTCCTTATTTAAAAATAATTTTACGAATTTAAGAAAATTTGAAAAATCAATTTTCTTTTAAAAAATAATTTCAAAGGATTTAAGAAAAAATTGGAATATCAAATTTCATATTTAAATAGTTTCAAGATTTTTAAAGAAAAAGTTAAAGTATCAATTTTTTCTTGAAATTAATTTTCTTCTAAAATTTCATAAAGAAGATAAATAGTAAATTATCCGACAACGGAGCTTCTGATAAAGAGACATTCCCTTTTTCACTTAATGATGAAATCTTTTTTATGGCTAAGATCTGTATGTGTCAAACCATTTCATCATTTGGAAACGACCAAGTTGTGATTTACTCTATTATTTCTTGGTAGTAGTCATTAATTCCCAAAACATTTGATCACATGTTTTAAAAGAAAAGTAAAGAATTGACTCTTTTTTATTTTGATAATGGAAAGTAAGTTATGTGGGGGCAATTTTCTGTTGTCATTCAATAAGTTTAGGATGACAATATAAACATTTTGTAAAGATTAAGTTCTAATTACTTTTTCAGGGTAATTGCTACATTCTTTTGTAAGTTTTGAAAGAAAAAAAAAAAACATAAAATTGAATTGTTGCATTGTAATGAATGAAAGATAGATGATTTCAAAAGTAATAAGATAAGAGTGAACTTTTGGGGCAAAAAAATTTCCTTTCGGTAATTGCATTTGCATCATGGTTTGGACATGCATGTGCATTATATAGACACCCCATTTAATTTGGGATCTAAGTCAATTGGGCTTGATTTAATTTCAGGCCTATAGACCCAAGTCAGTTAGGCTTGGACCCATTCCAAGACCATTGGCCAAATTTTATTTTTATTTACTGTTTATTTATTTTATATTTTACTTTTATTTGTATTTATTTATGTACATATCTTTCTTTCTTATCCTATTTATTTATTTATTTTATTCTATTTTCTGTATGTGTTAAACTCTTATTTATATTATGTTTTATCTTTAATTTCATTTTTTTTGAATATTTATCTTTTTTATTTAATTTTTTTGGGACAACTCTTAAAATAAAAATTAATTGGCCAATAATCAATTGGAAAGAGTGGTCGATGGGAAAATTGAGTGATAATGTTAAGTTTGTAATAAATGGATTTGAGTTTGAATTTGTATGGATTTTTCTTTGGGATAATGTTGAAACTTAGAAAATTACATCTTAAGTAATAAGAAATTCTCGTAATCATCTCTTATAAAAATAGAGCACATTAACACAATCAAGACACATAATAATCATCACTGAAATAGCAACAATCAAAACAACACAAAATTCGAGAGAAAAAGCAAAGAAGAAGTTTCTATCAAAATTTTTTTGGGAATTTTAAGGAGTTATAAGTTTGATTTGGGATGTTAGAAGATTTAAGGAGCTCAAAAGACTCAAATCGATGATTTTGGTATTTTTCTGGAAATTTTGATTTTTTTGGTTGAATTTTTCGACAAACTTTAAATTTTTCAACAACTTTGCAGTAAGTTTTCTAGTTTTCAATGACTTTTCCAACAATAATCCCAGATTTTGACTCGTTTGTTTTAGAAACTAGAGAATATTCAATCAATGTTAATCTTTTCCCTAGAAAAAGAAGCAATAGAAGAAAAGAGTAGAGAGAGAAAGCAAAAGGGGGTTCCGAGAAAAGAAACAAAGTTTTAGCCTTTTATATTGTTATAAAACAGCATCGTTTTAGGTTTAAAATGATCCAAGATCTGTATGTTTTCCCATTTGGCATGCTTGACCCATTCCACTTGACCCAGCAACTCGCGCCTTTTGCTTTGCTGTGCCAGTTGAAGTCACAAGTCGAGTTGCTAAGCTGCCTAGCCATTCTTGAGTTTGCAATCAAACCAACCCTTTTTGTTGAGTTAAGCCAAGCCAATGATTTTTTTCTTTCTTTCTTTTTTACTTATTTATTTATTTATTTACCCATTTATTATTATTATTATTATTATTATTATTATTGCATGTTTGTTAAACCAATATTTTTATTTTATTTATTTAAATTTTTGTATAAGTTTTTTATTTTACAAAAAAAAAGTTAAAATATTAGTTTTTTTTTAAATAAGAAAATTTCAAAAATGAAGAAAAAGTTAAAATATTAATTTTTCCTCTAGATAAATTTTCAAGAAAATTTCAGAAAAAAGTTGAATTATCAATTTTTCCTTAAAAGAAAATCATTTTTAAAAAAAATTGAGGAAAAAATTGGAATGCCAATTTTTTCTAAATTTAAATAAAATTTTGAGGAAAAAGTTAAAATATTTATTTTTTCTCAAAGATGAAACTTTCCAAAAAATGTGAGGAAAAAGTTAAAGTATTAATTTTTCTTTAAATAAAAATTTTCAAAATTTTGAGGAAAAAGTTGAAATATCAAATTTTCTTAAACAAAAAAAATTTAAGTGTTAGGGAAAAGTTAAAGTATTAATTTTTTCTTAAATAAAAAAATTTTCAAAAATTTAAGGATGAACTAAAATATCAATTTTCCTATTTAAATATTTTCAGGATTTTTGAAAAAGTTGAAAAGTCAAATTTCTTTTTTGTTTTTTAAATTTCAATAGATTTAAGAAAAGTTGAAATATTAATTTAAAAAAAATAATTTCAAAATGATTTAAGAAAAAATTGAAATATCAAATTTTCTATTTAAATATTTGCAAGATTTTTTAAAAAAAGTTGAAATATCAATTTTTCCTTAAAATTAAATTTTTTCTAAACTTTCATAAATAAGATAATTGGTAAATGATCTGACGACCGAGTTTCTGTAAGAGAAATAATTGTTTTCTTGTATACTCCTGACGTCAGGTGATTTTCTTACTGTTTTGTCTAAGTATTGGAGTTAATTGAGAATAGTTCCCAATACATGTAAATTTTAAATACTTAATGAATAATATGAAAACAACTGGTACTATCTTTCAATGAGCGCTATGAAGATGCTATAATCTTCTTCGTACGTAATCGTATTTTCGAATCTAACTTGATCTTATATATTAGAATCTATCTTTTAATATATTAAGTCAAACTTAAGACTTTTTTTAAAATAAGACAAATTGAATTAAGTAATCAATCTCACATAAAAAAAATATATTAATGACGATTCTTTAAATTTATGTCTAATGATACGTTAATGAATCTATATGTTATAACAAGTTTATTAATACATATGTTGTGAAATTAATTCACAACTTGAATTTAATAGTTTTTGCTCTCATATTCATTGCACAGTAAGAGAGATGGGGCGAAAAGCCTTTGGGATACAAAGAGGAAGAGAGCATGTTTTGAAGGGGAAAGGAAAAACGAACAATGAAAAAAAAAAAAAACCCAGCACATGAGGTTCAAATCCGATAACAACAAACAAATTGTAGATATGCATTATTTGTTGACAAATTTGCTCATTCAATAATGATTCAAAGAAGATACGAAAAGCGTGCACGAGAGGCGGATTCAAAGTTATTTAAATACAGCTGCCCAGCGCATTCTTTCATATGCATGATTATTTATGTAAATAAGAAAATGCTACTGTTGACATCGATTGCCGGCTGATACATAAAGGACAAGAAGATTTAATTCAGTGGATCTTCTTAACCTTGTAAATTGGAATGATCGCCATTCTTCCATTTTTTGCTAACATACAATTCTAGACTCGCGACAAGCCGACCTCAGAGGATTCATCCATTGCAAGCCCAACAGAAATATATACTCAAAGTCATCAGATGAAAGCATGGATTCAAGAGATATGAAACACATCATTCTAGTTTCTCTGCTTTTCCTCTCCATGTCCCAGGCTACTTCACATTCAATCCATGGTGATTTTATTCAGTGCATGTCAACCCAGTTTAGGGACTATACTAAAAGCTTTGAAATCATCTTCACCTCAGATTCCCCTTTATTTCAATCTATTTTGCAGTCCACTATACAAAACATGAGATGGTTAAATTACTCAACCTCAACACCTCTTCTCATAGTCACACCTTTCCATGAGTCTGAAATCCAAGCAGTCCTCCTTTGTAGCAAAAAGCTTGGTTTGCAAATCAGGACACGGAGTGGTGGCCATGACTATGAAGGCCTATCATACTTATGCGACACCCCATTCATTATCATTGATCTTATCAACCTTCGATCAATAGAAATCAATTTTGAAGAAGAAACCGCATGGGTTCAGTCTGGGACAACTCTTGGAGAGCTTTACTATGCTATAGGCGAGAAAACTAGCGTCCATGCATTCCCTGCAGGACTCTGCCCTACCGTAGGGGTTGGTGGACACTTCAGTGGAGGTGGTTTTGGGACCTTGTTGAGGAAGTACGGCCTTGCAGCAGATAATATCCTGGATGCTTACTTGATGGATGTCAATGGACAAATTTTGGACAGAAAAGCTATGGGCGAGGATCTTTTTTGGGCCATTAGAGGAGGTGGTGGAGCAAGCTTTGGGATCATACTTTCTTGGAAAATCAGGCTTGTCCGAGTTCCGTCAACAGTAACTGCTTTTACCATTTCAAAAACATTAGAACAAGGTGCCACAAAGCTAGTACATATGTGGCAATACATTGCATATAAATTACCTGAAGATCTATTCATCAGAGTCATCCTTCAAAATGTCCAGGAAGGTAACAATGGAAATAACAAAACTATCCAAGCTTCTTTCAACTCACTATTTCTTGGAGAAATTGACAAACTAATACCATTGATGAATGAGAGCTTCCCTGAGCTTGGATTGCTGGCTGAGAATTGCATTCAGATGAGTTGGATTGAATCCACCCTCTATTTTGCAGGATTCCAGCAAGGGCTGCCCCTGGAGGTATTGTTAGACAAAACTCAACTATATAAGAGTAATTTTAAGGCAAAATCAGACTTTGTTAGGGAGCCAATACCTGAAGAAGGGCTAGAAGGAATATGGAAGATGTTTTTGGCTGAAGAGATGGTTTTCATAATAATGGATCCCTTCGGTGGACAAATGAATAGAATTCCCGAATCTGCAGTCCCCTTTCCTCACAGAAATGGTAATTTGTACAATATACAGTACATAGTGAAATGGGAAGTGAACGATATTAAGGCTTCCAACAAGCAAATACATTGGATCAGGATGTTATATGAATACATGAGACCATATGTTTCAAAAGATCCAAGGGCTGCCTATCTTAACTATAGGGATCTTGACTTGGGGACAAACAGTCTGGGCAGCACAAGCTATGCAGAGGCAAATGAATGGGGCAAAAAATACTTCAAGGGTAACTTCAAGAGACTGACAAGGGTAAAAAGCATGACTGATCCACAAAATTCTTTTAGGAGTGAACAGAGCATTCCACCTCTTCCCAGGAAATACAAATAAATAAATGTTTCTTGGACTCTCCCTAGTGCTGTCCCTGTAATTGCAGTTTCTAAGTTCTAGCCAAGAGATTATTTCTTCAACGCATGGATGGAAACTGCCAGCATTTCACAAAAACAAAAATTTATGGTTTCATGAAAACAATGGACCCGAATTGAAACAAGAGGATATCTTAATCAAATAAGCCAAAATAATTTCAAAGCATCTTGTTTTCTTTAGTTACAGAAGAGAACGTCACAGCTTGCTTCATAGAAACTTTCAAGATCCGGTCTCACTTAAATGCTAAATGTAGAAGGATACAAGGCGCAGATAAGATTTTGCCATTTTACTTTTAACAACACGAGAACTTTGGGGAATTTTTTTTTTTTTTCCGTTCAAAGTGAATTGCTCCAATTTTACTGGGCAAAAAAAAAGGGAAAAACGATTGCTCTTTTTGGTTAAGTCTTTTATAATTAGCGTGGATTTAAAAAAAATATATGGACATCATTTCAGTTTTAAGCTTCTCTACAATTTTATTGTTCTACCATTCATAAATGAAACACTGAAACATTTTCGGTTTAAAAGTTCAATTCCTACGTTTTCCAAAACAATAAAAGAAAAGAAAACATAGAAAAACTGGCTTTAGATCAATTTAAGGCTACAATTATTAAAAAAGAAAAAAGAAAACAGCAGCGAAGTTAGGGGCAGGAAAACAGTACAATACTGCAGCCAGAGAATGCGTCAAAACTCCAAATCAAAACTCAAGTATCTAATTAACCCTCATCAACCAAGAAGAAAAAGCCAACTCTTATTCTTCCATCTTAATTAGCCAAAATTCCTTTCTCCTTAGCTTGGAAGATATGGCAAACTCCTATTCAGCAGAGGGTAGCATGGATGCAGTATAGAATGGAAAAACTTCCTAATGATGAAATTGCAAAGACAGAAAACCATGTGCAACAAAAGCGACATTCAAGTTGGAAAGTTCGAATTTTACAAATTTTATTTGAACAAATCTAGATAATTAATAAAATGAAATTTTTGTATGTACAGGCAACAGCGATAGAATACACTTAAGCGGTAAGCCCCAACAGTAGTCACAGACAGGTAACATTAAACACACACTCTATCATTTTCCATCCTCTTCATATATCTTACATTGTCATTTGCATAATCCCAATCTTGTTCATAACACAGATTTTGCTCTTGTCGCAATATGTTCATCTCATTCTAATACTTTGCACCACTTGATCTTTTTGTTTAAAATGCCACAATTTAGTTTTCAATGAGAAAAAAAAAATCTGAGATGAGGTTTCCATATCTGAGTAGATCTCCAAAACCATTTCCCATACTTCTTTCTTAGTTAGCAAAAACAGATAGGTTTTTCGGATTGATTGCTCCATGGAATTGACAAGCTAAACAATGACTAACAAATTCTCTTAGATCTCCATGTCTTCCATGTTGGGCCGTTCTCAGTTGGTTTTTTCGTTTTGCTTATCAGGTGACTAAGTTTTCGCTTGCCATCAATCGTGAGTTTCATCAATTGCGCTTATTCTAAGTAATTTTTATTGTTCAACTTGTGAACAGTCAATTAGACAAATGGATTTTCAAATCCATTAAGATTTACAACAAAAATTGACGAAGCACCTCCACTAATAACTTCTACGGGTGCTGTGTCTTTTTATTCCGTCATGATTATTTTGATCATCAGGATTTCTAAAGGAAATGCCTATGCTATGATACCATGCTAAAGGAAAATTTTTCTTATTATTTAATATGAGAGTTACAATTCAAGTCTTAACCTTCTTACTAAGTGAGTAAAATCTAAGAACTAAATTAAAAACTAAACAACTAATAATCTAAACCTATTGATATTTAACAATTTAGATTTTATAACAAAATAACAAAAAAAAATTATATTTTTATATATCATTATATTAATTTCAATCTTTTAGTGTTTGATAAAAAAAAAACTAAGTTTTTATGATTATTTATTGACATTTGATCTTTATGAAGAAAATTGAGATTTTACTCTCTTGGTATTTTGGTATCAATTTTTGTGAGTTTTATGCTATTGCTCTAATTAGATACTAGATTTCAAGCTCGTAGCTTTGCTTACGGGAGTAAAATACAGAGTAAATTTTAGTTATATATTAATTTAAATATTAAAAAATATCGTGTGTTTCATTAGTTTAAATTTTAGGTTATCAGAAAATTGAAATTATAATACAACCACAACATGCATAAATTATGTCTAAGATGAGCCATACATCCAAACTGACGTAAGCAACATATTATCTAGATTTAATTTAGTCATGCAACAATAGATATTGGAGTATTTTAGAAGTTTTATAGAAGGAAATCTAAACTGTTCCATATTAAACCTCACCAAAGGTGAACAATATTTAGTTACAATAAATTTCAAAAATATATATATGTATTGTAAAAAATGAAGCACCTACATTTTATCTGCATTTAGAACCTATTTACAGGCTACAATAGTATATCAAAATGCATCTACCTGTATAGATAAATAAATCACCCATCTTCTCTCATATGAAAGATTTAAAGAAACTAAAACAACTTTTATCTTTCACATGTGATAAATAATTTCAGCTTTTATCTTATTCTTTAAATAGCAAAGATTTCCTAGGAACTGATTCTATGGTAGTTTCAACTTCTAGAAAATAAAAAAAATAAAAAACATAGTTTCAACTTTTATCTTATCCTATAAACAATAAAAATTTTTTAGGAACTAAAAGAGAACTTTATAAAAACTCAAGAAAACTTTTCTTTTAGCTCTAATATTATACTTTAGGCACACTAAAATAGATAATTAAAGACATTAACGTTAGTAAAAACAAAAAATAAATAGGGATATAATGGACGTAATAAGAAAGTACTGAACAAAAGGTGGAGATTAAATAACTTGTCATGTATTTGCTCCCAAAAATCTTAAGTATTATGGTGACGAACATCTTAGAAGTAACATCGAGGGAAATATAATGAATAGAAAGTAATGTTAGCACTGGAAATTATGATGCTTCTGAAGATTCTTGATAGAAGTTTTGAAACAGGATGCTTCTGAAGCTGCCTAAAAAAGCCAATACATGTTTCCTTATCTGCATCTGGTTATAACTATTAAAACTTTTAACAGTTAAATCCTATTTTCACGCATATGCAGACAAGCTCCCAAATGCAAAATCTCACTCCTTTCTCGAGTGTAATTGTAAAACTGTATGATTTTGTTTTGAAGGCATAAATTTTATTATCCCAAGTGAATGATTCAACCATATGGTTTAAAGTTAGGTTTGAAAAATTCTTTTATATAGAAATTTCTAGTTGATAGTTGCATCTTGTTGATCTAGGTTATATTTTCAAAAAAATCCTGATATTGGAGTAATATTTATTCTCATTATACAATAGAAATTCTCTCACTTGATTTACCAGTGAAACTCTTTTTGTTTGAGCAGCCATAATTAGGCGTCCATACATGGCCTGCAAAGGGAATCTTGATCACCATATAATACTAAAATAAGTATTCCATAGAGCTAAAGCAAACTAGCCAATGATGAACTTATGAAATCACAGCATGTCCATCACACCAACATGAGCCAAAGCACAACCAAAAAGATCAGGTCTATGTTAAAAGAAAAATAGTTCAATAATGAGCATTGTAAGATACTGATAAAGGATGAAAAGGTAAAAAAAAAAAAAAGAAAAAATCAATCATGCAAAGTTTGGTCCATCTGGTTCACGCAAGCCCCAATGAGAAGCCCACCATCGTTTCCACCTTTAATTCACAAACTTCTGGACTAAGTATAGCCAGCAAATATAAGATACTTAGTAGCATAAATGAAAACATCAAAGCAATTTTGCTTTCTGGAAAGATAACCAGCTTTATGCCATTCCTGTTTACATTCTCCCTCGCCACGAATGTTGTCAATGTAGAAAAAAGCACCAAAATGCCGTGTCAGTATAATAAGACTCACACTGAATGTTGGTGCGAACACAATATATATATATATATATATATATATTAATTGATTAGTATAAGTTACATTTTTACAATACTATCATTTGTAGCAGTTTGAAAAAATTTGTGATAAGCCATGCATTTATGTATAGGCAAAACATCAAAGTTAGAGATATAAATCAAGAAGCAAGAACATATTAGGGAGGCATTTGGTTCAGGGGAAACTACATATTTTCTCCCAAAATCTTATTATTGGGTATTTGATTCCAACATTTAGTTCAGAGTCATATGATTCCAGGGAAATCTGACATATTTTCAATAGTACCCAAAATCTCGGAATCAAAAAATCACCTCTCCTTGCGGTATTCTAGGATTTTGAGGGGGGAAGTAGTGTTATTCCCAAATTTGACTTGAATAAAAAAGCATGAAATAACGGTTACCATTTTGAAAAGCATGTCTAAAAATGAAAGAGATTATTGAAAGCGTTTTTGGCCAAAAACACTTTAAATAATCTTGAATTTTTTTTTAATGAGGTTATCGAAGGCATTTTGGGCCAAAAATGCCTTGAATAATCCTTTAAAAAAAATTTAATGAGGTTATTGAAGGTGTTTTTAGCCAAAAACCCAAACCAAATACCCAATATTGGAAAGATATAAAAAAAAGCCCAATATTGGAAAGATAAATGTATGCTAAAAGAGACTTAAGCCATTCGTCTGGTGGGATAGATAAAAGAAGTTAGCTTTAAAGTGAGAGGCATGGCCTAAGAAGCTAAGCAAGTAAAGGAAAAAGTGTATCTAGGATAGTATAGTCAACGCTTGGCTAATTTTCTGGAAAATACTTACAACCAGTACTAGCACATAAGGCGCTTCTTTTGAGAATCTTAATATTATGGTGTAAGGAGTCTTTAATTGGGTATTATAGTGAACTCAATGTCGAAGTAGAAAGTTTTTAACAATATAACATTGTAAAACCAAATTTGTCATGATGTTGTTCAAAGCTTAACTTGAAATCTCTAGCAAGTATTGGGTAATAAGCATATTTGTTGAATTCACACATTCATACTCATATGTATGTTCTATTTAATGTTAATGGTGTTGAAATATTAACTTTTAAGGGCATTTCTATTTTGATACACTAAATTTGAATTTCAACATTAATAAAAGAGGTTTTCCTTATTTAGTTTGGGTTTTGCATTATATTCTGACATTGTGTAAATAGAT